GAAATCGTTTTCTTTCCACAAACTTTAAAAATAACAGCTAACGTCGATGAAAAATGATGACGAAGAAGTTGTGAATAGAACAAATCGTAGGAGCACAAGAAAGAAGACATTCACAGGTGAATTACTGAAGCACTAAGTGGTTTAGAGATCTTGCAGAAATGCGAGGAATGAATGGAGCAAAAACTCGTGAAAATTTTAGAAAAGTTGAGGAGAAGCAGCACTCGGGAAGATGAAATTTTCAACATCAAAAGAGTCACGATTATGGATTTATGTGACCGTACATCTTCCCCCATTCAATAACTTCACAATCAATTGGCATTTTGTTATCAACTCGGCTTTTTTGTGGAATACTTTCCGGTCTCCCGAAGTAGATCTCATTTGATGTTGCGGTTATTAAATTTTCGATAACGTTTCACTCTTATCCAACAAATTCAGCCGCTCCGAAGTTCTCTACTGTTAACAGTTGTTCCTACAAAATTGCTCGAGAGATCAACAAAAGGTGTTGGTGCTGTGATGCTCCAAAAATGAGTGATGAAAAAAAAAGTCGGCAGAATAGTCGACTGATGATCGCCTCTGAATCAGCAGTAGTTCCTCAAATAATTGCTCACAACTTTCTAAATGAAACAATATTCCGGAAAAATCCATCTCATATAACTAATAGCTCGTGTTTCACTGGGATCAATTATGACGGAAACCAAAATCGCAATGTAAAATGTGATGTTTAAACAAATCAAGACAGAATTCTTCGCTTTTGAGGACCATCATAAACGAAATCAACAACAGCCAATAGCGAATTGGTGACTCTTCTTTTCAGAAATTGCATTTGAAAAGGTGCTAGTCGAGTCGACTGAGAAGAAATCCGATGAATATGCTATACGAAACGGCTTTTTTCTTTAACATCACCCGACATCACGTGTTCAGCATATCGTCTATTCCATTGGACTCGCCTCCTCGTATGCATGATTTTCTGCCTTCTGATTGGGAATTTATGGCTCACTTCAAAATGTGGTTGAATGTTGATCGAGCCGATTCTCCGTATTGTAGATATCACATCGATTCCCCAACAATGCGTGGATAGGAGGTTTGACTGGATGAAGCTAGATGGAACTGCGGCCTTTTGTATAAGTTTGACAGAGTATTGTCGTTGAACTGAATTTGATCATTCTGAATGATCAATGCCGATTGCAGATGTTGCGACTTGTGCCGCGTTCTATTAACGCAGTAACGATAAATTGTTTTGCCAAATTTAAAAAGCTTTAGTGGATGATATCACCTGGTCAACTACGGTTTATTCATTTTTGATTTCGAAAGGTCAGAACATTTCCCAAGATACAAAGGAATGAAAGCCTTGCTTAACAGAAAATTACCTCTCAAATAGAAATAGCGCTGTTACCCAAACGATTTCGCGGGAGTCATGAAGATGAAAGACGTACTATTCAAGTATCCAAATACAGATGTCGTGAGCTGGATTCATCGGCACTGAAACCATTGCCAAAACTCTATTATGCAAATTTGTCTCCACGAAATGTTTCGACACCTCTTCTTCCTGAGGCAGGAAGATGGAATAAGAACCACTCATGTGATCAAACATAGATGTCACGGACTGGATCCTTCAACCTTGAAACCACTGCCAAAACTTAACTACGCACATTTTCCTTTACAAAATGCTTCGACGTGTCATGTTTGGCCAAGATTGCCTTGAGTGTCGTCGAATGACTTAAAAAACGTTCATTGTAAGCTATATGTCATACTGTGGTCAAGAGACTTTTTTCACACTATAAGGGAAGCGTAGAATATTTTAAAATTACGATCTATTGGTTGCTTTTCAATTTCTGTGTCAGCCATTTGCCGAGTTCTCTTATCTCATTTTCGTCTGTGGAATCCTTAAACCTCTACTTTACATAGTCCTAGTTTTTCGAACCGTTTTCAAACAGTTATACTTCAATTTTTTTCAACATTAGCTTAGAATGGTCGCAGTCCACGGCACCAACTCCCCATCAACCTTTTCATCATCACAAAACTCATCTTCAGCAGAATAGTTTGAAAGGGATGTTATGCAGCACGATGGTCATCGATTCCCTGGGCAAATGCAGCTTTGATATTGCAGGTCGTTTCTACACTCTTCTGTATAATTTTAAAAATCGATGAAATTCACTTTTCATCGTTGCTATTCAATCCTCTCCTCGTCTGGTCCACTAGTTGTAGAGTCCGTTCTCATCACAGAAATAGCTGTTATCATCAAGACGGGAGCGCAACACTCAGGACACCAAACTACTTTTGGATCCATAAAGGTTGGCTACTCTGTAATGACGACCTGCACTAGGAGAAAATCAAGTTCAACTGGTATTTACCAACGGTCGGCTCACTACGTAATTAAGTAGGTGTTCACTTATCTCAAACTGGACAAAAATGGTATGTGAAAAACAAACGTTAACATGCAACTATTTCAAGATCTTTGTATTTTAAAATAGCTCATAATAAGGAATCGAAGAACTAAAACTTTCATTAACACTTTTAGGATGAAGTGAATCATGTGTAACTCATAAAAACCAGAAATATTTCAGCTTTTCGTCTTTTAAAGTGGTATGTCTTAAGTTGTGGTGATCTTTATCAAATGAACGTGTTACTACAGATTATTAAGCGATGATTTGTCTTGTTTTTGTTTTTTTTTTTGTTTTTTTCGATCCGGGTATGATCGAACTGTTAGCAAGTTTCATAAGAAACATTCTACCCTTGAAAGTTATAGCATTATACCAGGTATAAATGCTAATCATTGTGAAAATATTTTTTTACATTTGTTTTTGGTGGTTTTTACACATTCGGAACCACATGAATTTGAGCATGATAGAATATAAATAAACCTTTCAACTTTAAACAAACATCTCATAGTGAACCTCCTAAACTGAAAGAAGATTTAATTGAAGCCAAAGCTTTATAAAACGCACTACTATTTTTCTCTGACCTTTTTCGGTTTCTTAATGTGACGAAGTCGCTTTTCGTTTCATCTCGAATAACAAAGTGATTGACCAAGAGGGATCTAATTCGGCAGCAGGTGACAACGTCCGCAGATTGATCATCAATGTGCGTTATTGAATCCTCCTTACTTGGTACTTGAACGACCAGCCCTCATTGGTTGTGTGGGCACTAGCATAATCACCACTTTTCAAAGATTTGCTGACTAAGCCATTGTAGTTTCCTGAAATCCCGCTCAGCTGGCTAAAATCTGCCCCAGGTCTTCAGCACTACAGGCCGCCGCAGCCCTTGTGGCTCAGAGGGAAATTTACCACCGTGCGACTTTGACATCAGGACGGTGGTGGATCCTAGTATCACTTTACTCTTAGCTAGGCTTCTTGATGGAAACGCCGGTCTCCTTCTCAGCTTGGGAGACCCCGCCGGTAGAATGAATCCTCCCGCTGTACATCGCAGCCCGACACCCAGGAACACCTCCCAGCCACGATTTATCTGATCTCCTGTAAGACGTGCGGAGACGAATACATTGGCGGAACGGGCAGACCCCTCTGTGTCTGCGTAAAAGAACACCTAGCCGGCAAACATAGACCAATTACCCTGCTAGGCACGCATAACACCTAGAGACATAACGGGGAGGACTTTGAAGTATGTGTCACGATCCTCGCACACGAATCAAGAACGCAATCGCGCAAAACTCTCGAGGCATTCTGGATGAATTCCAGAAATCCGAATATGAACCGCAATAAAGAATGCCTCATTGTCACGCGTGATATAGGGCAGTATATAAGACTGCTATTCTGATGGGAAGGGCACATTATGGTTCCGTGTGATTTTTGTGCGGTTGGTCTTCACGCGACATACTTAGTGGAAACCTCATAGAAAGCGGTGAGTGTGCAAAGCTGTGTTCAATGTAATTGAAATCATGGTTTAGAGTTTCATTGTTTGGTTATGGAGGTGTCTGGCCGAATAGATTGCTATTAACTTGACCTTTCCATGTTCTGAGGAAGGCGAAATCCGCCGGAACGTCAGCTTATTCGTGAATAAAGAACAATAACACTTCGGGTTTGCTCAGCAAAAATACGAAGAATTACTTGATCAATGGCGAGGTTAATAGAAAGTCGGGCGTGGAAGTTACTTTCGTTAAGAGTTTTAAACTCTCAAAACTGCTCCATTATAGCAGTTCAGGCTCGAAAAGAAAGCTGAAAATTAATCCTTTCTTTTAATTAGATATTCCTGCACGGTGATGCGACAGTGCTTTTTGTACAGATCGCTTAGTTCTTAGCCATTCAAGTCCTCCAAATTATCAGAGAAATTTTCAGAGGTTACCAGAAAATCGGCACAATCGTGAGCCACAACGTCCTAACTTTTACTTCCAGCCTAATCTTTTCTATGCCAGGATACTATGTGAAATACAACCACGAAAGTGCTTGCAAGTCCATCTGAGGTTTTGAGTTTTGCTCATATCTCAGCACCTTACAGTTGTAAATGTTCTAAAAGTCAAGTGTCAAGTGTGTAGCCTTAAAAAATGATACCTACATTATCTTTCCTTGGCCAATAAAATTGATATCAGTATTAAATATAAATCATTAGTAGAAATTTTATCAAATTCACGAAAATCGCCGATGACCCGCAAAGTGCTCAAACCACCAAATATTTTATTAAATATTGGAATGGTAGTAAAATGAAGTTATTCCTCATATGATTTCTAGGTGCTACTTTTACTTCCTCGTGAGTGCTAAAAATTTCCAATTGTATAAACGCTTCCTTTGATATAAAAAATATTGCTCAATCAGAGAATATCATATCGAACTCCTTATAGAACACAAAGGAGTAATAAACATGTATGGCCTGGCGATTCAGCAGCTTATGACCCACTTAAAGGAGTGTCTGAACAATCTTCGGACGGTCTGAGAGGCGTTTCGCATAAACGGTTGGCCATGGGATAGCGAATAGCACCTGCTGGGCAATAGGACATACCACTGCATTTATGTCTAAGGTGGAAGCACCAGTAAACGATCTCGGACTATTACTCCACTGTAGGTATAACGATGATTGTTTTGTCACCTGCTGCACACAAGAGGAGATGAACAAATGTTTTGAGTTATTGAACGAACAGTTAGAGTACACAACATTTACACGAGCTATACTGGAAGAAAACTGGATTCCATATTTGAACGCTCTAATTAATCTATCCGAAAACGGCTGCATCACTAAATGATGTCGGAAACCAAGTAACAAAAACATACTGGTTCATTATCTCACCTTTTCAACTGTCACACACAACCGATGGAATCGGTTGCGCAGTCGGTAACAAGCCGCCGAAAAGGGAAATCATAGGTTCTATAGTATTAGGTTGCTCAGAAATAACTAGGCTTTTAATTATATTATTTAGAATGTCATAACGTGCTTCAAACAAAACCTTATTGGTCAAGATAAGAACAATTTAAATCTAGACAACACTGCCTACGTGATGCAAGTTTATTCATTCCAGTTGCACAAAATCATGGAGTTCTGGAAGCGATTTGTTGTGGGCGTTTTTGCGTCATCGTGGTTGGTGAAGCATTTTTCGCGCACAAAGTTGTCAAGGTGCTTGAAAAAGTGATAGTCGGTGGGCGAGAGGTCTGATGAATATGGCCGATGAGGCGAAGTTTCTCAGCCCAACTCCTTCAACATCTGTACCCCTGGTTTGGCAACGTGAGGCCGGGCGTTTTCTTGCGAAAGGATTGGTCCTTTTCTGTTTAGTTATGCCGATCGCTGTTGTTGGATCTTGTTGGAATCTGCGGTGCATTTCGCTGATTTTTGAAAATACTCTCTGCCGTAATCGTTTCGCACGGATTCAAAAGCTGTGATAAATCAGACTGACTGTAGATCACCAAACAGTCACCGTAACCTTTTTGGAGCAATTTCAGCCTTGTGAAATGCTGTGGAGGCTGATCGCAATCCAACCATTGAGCTGAACGCCGCCGGTTATCGCACAGAATCCAATTCACGTCGCATGTCACAATTTGATAAGAAGAGTCGTTTTTGTTGCCCAGAATAAGAGCAGACGACATTTGAAGACGGCGATTTTTTTTTGCCCATCGTTTAATTCGTATGGAACCCACTTGTCGAGTTTTTTACCTTTCCTATGCTATTCAAGTGAGTGAAAATTGTTCCCACGATTAGGCCAAGCTATTATGCAAGCTCGCGAACAGTGGTTTGCATGTTTGCTTCCACTAGAGCCTTCAATCGTAATTGTCAAATTCGTTGGGACGTCGGCGACCTTCCCTATCTTCGAGAAAATCATCAGATCGGAATTTCGGGAACCATGTTCGCGCTGTTGATTCACAAACACTACCTTCATGTCAAATTTCATCAATGTTTTAAGCCCTCTCTGCTGCACTTCGAGCGAGTTTGAACTCATAAAAGAAAATCTGACGAGAATCTGTTTTTGATATGTGAGGCCTGAAGTGCACGTTTTGCAAATGTCTTAGCACCAGAGCGGCTGTATTTCATAACATATTCTGCCGAGAAAAAGTAATAGTAACCAGTAAATAAAAAGTTAGCCTCATAATAGTAGTGTATTAAAAGCCTCGTTTTTTTTCCCGGCCTTTTCAAGGAAAAAGCGAATTGCGTTGGTAGGATACACTCAAGAACTTCCACTCAACGACAATCAGGCCTCCCACGACGGCACAGCGTTGTGCTCACTCTCTCTGAGTCATTTGTCAAACAGAATCAACTGGGCTGAATTCATTCGTTCGCAAATGCCTATCGATTTATTGTCGTCGGAAAGAGTACATCCAAAAAAAGTGCTCTAATCGAAAAATAAGGGAACAAAAAGCTCTAAAAAAAAGTTTATAAAGTGACAACTCTGATGATCTGCCTGCTCTGACATTTGCTCTGTGTAACAACCAAACACGCCGTCCAAAATGAAAAATGCACGTATGAAGCAAAGAACATCCTAAGAACACTCTAAGAACAGCCGCCCTGTAGGTACATTTAGTGCTTCTTGTTGCTATAAAAAATAGGAAAAGAAAGTAAGTGTAAAGGATATGTGAGTAGTAAGAAATGTCATAACAGTAATATTTGAAAGGTTTCTTACTGCAAAATAAGTTTAGAAAAGACAAAATAAGACATGTTCTTTCATGCTCTTTCTGGACGAGCAGATTGGAAAGCACAGTGTCTGTTTGCTGTGCTTAAGAACGAAAACAACATCCATGTCTAGCTTCTAATTCATTGATAATATACTATTTTACTTGCTTACTACTACTATAATTACTACCACCGTTGTTTGCATTCACACCGCTGGAAACAGATAAAAGCTATGGGGACGATCTCTAGTAAATGAAACCACTAGAAAATAGGATGGACAAGTTTGGACAGTCCATTCAAATATTCAAATGGCCCTTCGTTCTTGTGAGAGGAAGAAAACGGAAGTGTTAACAATATTATAACAAAGTCCTAGTATCAAATGGAATGAACAGGGGAAGGAAGAGTGAGAGAGGCATGAAAATAGCTTGAGATGGCAGAGAAGAAGTGAGGGAGTGTAGGACGAAGAGGCTCTGAGGGTGACAGATGTGTCTAAACTACTAAATTAAAAAAAAGCATAAAGCATAAAACAGCTGTTTCTTTGGCACGTCAGCATGGTGACATATCCTTCGATAGAAATTCTGTTTAACACTACCAATTTCGAAAATAAGTTTGTTTCTTCCATATTTTCTGTAATAAACATAAGATGGAAATAACAGATAAGCCTAAATGGAATCATTATTCCGAAAAACTCTTTTCCAAAAAAAAATTTTGACCGAAGCAAGCCATTGTCAGGGAGGTTTAGGATTTCTGAAAGATTGTCAACGACAGAAAGATGCTAAAAACAATATGCTTTCCACTGAGAGCAACAATCACGAAGGAAGAATTGAAGATAACAAAATCAAGATCCAGAAACCAAGATCCCAGAAAGGACAAACGAATGGAAAACTAAGGAAAAAAGCACAAGTGGTTTATCATTTCTACTTACTAAAAAATTGCTAAGTCAAGATTGAAGCTGATCACAAACAGCACTGATAGATAGTAACTGTTGGGAGATTCGAAGAAAAAAAAACGGTAGAGTAGAAAAGCAGCTACTGGACTGGAAAGGATATAATTTCAGTCGGTAACGTACCGTTTTGGGAGTTGGAGATGGATACCGGAATCGGAACGGCAAGCTGAAGCGTTTTTTACTCAAGTTCATTTCAGGCGGCGGTCATGCGATTTTGGCGCAGTGGTGTGGATCGGATCGCTGTCGAAAATCACTGTGAGTTCAACGACCAGGTGTAGAAATCGACGACTAATGAGAACTACCTATCACACACAATGTGGGCGGGCGAGTCAATAGGCACCAATAGAAAACATCCGTCGTCCGATGTACACGTCCAGCAAAAAAAAAGGGAAAAAAAAGAAAAATCCCAAAATCGTCGTGACAAATTATCAAGGAAAAAACCCCGTTTGTACGAAACCTGCAATTGCATTTTATAGTTCTTCCTTCTCTCGTCTCTGTTGATTTCTACGACCAAATCGTCTGCCAATGAAACCGAAACGCTGCAGTTTTTAAGTAGTGAACTGATCTGGTTAAAAAAGTGTTAGTTAGAGGAATTCCTAACTTGATCTATTTGGTCCATCTATTTGATCTCTCTTAATCAATTTCTCTTCGAACTCCGAAAAAAGTCTACTTTCTTTTGTAACAGAAAAAAAGACAATATGAGAAGTATAAAAAACTAACGGACCGAGAGAAGAAAAGTAAACAGAAAAGAAAAGAAGGAATTCGCATTCACGGGATGAGTATAAAAACTGTTTCGTCTAGAATGTGTTAAAAATATTGCAGAAGATCAGTCAGTTATTCTGCTATTTTTGCACGGAATTTACAGACACTTAACAGCTACTCATCCCATTCGTACTGGTTAGTCCATATGACTCAATCGAAGTGGAAATAGTACGTTTTCCTTTCAAGAATGATCTTTTCCTCCGTAAGTAGTTAGTATTATATCCTAAAATTACGTCCATTTCACTACTCTTTTCAGCACTTGAGAGCAAGCAGTGGTGAGGATTAAGTAAAAGAATTATTAATAAAAGCAATTGAACTTGACACTGCAATTGTGAAATCCTTATAAAATCCGTTCCGAGAGCAGCTGAAGAGGGCGAAATTAGAACAGGTGCTGAACAACTCACTTGTTTCGCTCGCCGGGTTAGTGTTGAGTGTCGGATTGGGCTTGGTTGAGTCACGTGGCTTGATCTGGAATTGAAAATTCACTGCGAAATTAAGAAATGGTGCTCGAATTACGGTTCTATATAGATGCTCTAAACCAGGTACGGCAGAGTTGAAAACTCCATTTTCAGTCACGAATCTCTTAAAAACCACTGCGGCATTGGCACGGTGACCTGCTTTCAAAGTAAAATGACGATAGCGTCGTTTAAATGAACAAATAAAAAACGTTTCATTAGGATTTCTGGACAAATTTTCTTTAGGTATTTTAATAGACTGGGAAGCATATGAACGTTTTATGTTCAATAGCCTATCGTCAACAAAAAAAAAATAAATAAGACATTTAAACAATCGCAAATTTCCCATCTGGTGACGAAAATAAAATAAAGAAAAAAAGCATTTAGATGATTTAACAACTGTTCACAGACATCTTTAATGATGTCCTGCTCCATTCTCATCAACGTTGAAACCATGTGTAGTTAGTAAAGCCACTGGATTTTGCTTCAAGGCCAATGTGTTACGAAGAAAATGAAGGCAAAGAACTCAAATCCGGATGTCTTAATAGCTCATGATCTGATAATGACTTGTATCAATCAGATGTTTGCGTTCTTTTCGCTTTCTGTTTTGGTCTTAGCTAGATAATGATAATGAATTGCAACCACAACGTTGCTGAGATATTTGCAAAACTCTGGACCGCAGGTGCCTATGGTGGGGAACGAACGCGCTACTGTCCTTTCCGGGGAGTAACGCGTTCACCATCACACCATGCGGGTCCTTTGTTTTGCCTGTCTCTCAGCTATTTCTATCGATCTTTGCCACAGCAATCACCTGTCAGCGGGATTGATCTAGGGCGCCCAAATCGGCATAGAACCCAGTTAAGCTGCGGCTGTAGTTGAAATCACAATGTTATACCTTTTTATTTTCTGCCTACTATAATTTCGCAGCAGGGTACTAAGCGAAATACAACCACAACGTTGCTGAGATATTTGAAAAACTCGACTCGACTTATACTGTTTTTTTTTTGAGTTTTGCAAATATCTTAGCAACGTTGTGGTTGTATTTCGGTTGGTACCCTGCCGCGAAATTATAGTAGACAGAAAATAAAAAAGTATAACATAATGAATTGCGTTTGTGCTTGGCAGAAACTCACACGAAATACTCACTGACAAGCATGAATGTTCAAGTTAAAGCTTAAGGTTAAGGGGCCCGCTGTCCAAGGAACTCTCGAACAGAAAAGAGCGCGTAGTTTTCACAATGTTTGCAGTATTTGCTTATACACAGTTCATATCAAACACTAAGCAGTTAGAGTTAGCAGTTAGACACTACTACTGATGTCATAAAGAATGATTACCACGTATGAAAAAAAAAGTAAATGAAATAAGAAAAAATAATTAAAAATCCAACAGAAATGGGAAAACTGGTGAAGAATTTCCAATAACACTCAAACTACCACGATAAGAAATGCTATTTTATAGTGATGCGGTTTTTTCAACAGATTTCATCGATGTTTGAGCAAGAGATGTCTCATTAGCTATTTTCCTATTTTTATCGCATTTTTTTATTATGTTATATTATACAAACTCTCTTATCACAAAATTAATAGCAAAAATATTAGTTTTCGGTTAGGCCGTCCCCCACTCCATGATATTCGAGTAGTTGTGCACTTATAACACCAACTTATAAGCTTTGTAAAACATCTATAGGTTCAGAAAAAAAAACAAGTGACACGAAAAAATATGAAAAGTTATGAAAGACATCGAATTACAGTAAGAAGCAGTAAGCGAATTACAGTAAATTTATGTTAACCTCCTTTTTCCGGTTCTCACTGATTATAACTCCGAGCTTTTTTCTTTGCTACACTTTTCACAGTTACTGTATAAAGCATAATAGTGATGAAAAATTGCTTACTTAAAAAATAAGAAGAAAAACATGACTATACAGGGAGCCCCTCTTACAGAAATGTAAAGTTGCACTTGTAGGAAACGTCTATATAGATTCGTTAAAAGCTTCTCAAAATCAAAGTATTAAGGAAGGCAACGCTCCGATTTCAGTGATCGACTTCAAAAATTTTTGAAATATGCGGAGATTTTAGGAAAGGAAAAAAGGGGAAGAGGAGAATGAATGAATACATTTTTGACAGAGCTTTTCCTACGTTTTCCGCTCACATTCAGCTTTTAACACATGACTGTTTATCAAAAATTACTGTTCTAAACAGAGAAACGATTGAAACGGCAATGGAAGAGTGTCGCCTTTTAATGGTTCAGATCGACTAGCACGCGGCTCAGACGAAATGATAATAGAATTAAATGAAATCGAATTCGGACAACGAAAATAGGCTTTTCGATGGCGTTTAAGTAATGATGATTTTCCAGTGAACCACTATGAAATCAATGAATCGTTTTTGAACGATCCTCTTTAAATATGATAACGCAAAATGAAGTATTTTCACTGGGAACTGTTATTCGTTTAAATAGGAATTCAACATACATTATTGTATTTAAGACAGCAGACTCCAGCTGATCGATGACATTCTCCACTCGAGTCGTGTCCACCATAGCGCTGTCGAATTTCAAATCTGAAAACAAAGGGGCGAAAATTGCTCCACCAAAAATATGAACATCCTCCGAGTAACACATACGTAAGCTAGAACAACTAATCTCGTAAAGTCGAAAATTGGAGCTTTTCCGACTCGTACCACTTTTCTTTCTTCGAATACCACCACATGATATTAACGTGGATACGTTGTTAAGAATCGACCTGCGATCTGGACGCTACAGCTCAACTTTGCCGAGTACGATACAAATACCACTCTATCTGGGAAGGATTCGTTTTATTATGACAGTAGATGGCTGGAGCCAGACATATTCTGTAGAAGCAAATATCGCATAAACAATAAGTTCTACTGATAAGGTGACGATAGGACCACCCGAACAACAAGAGTGCCATCTCGTGGGAACGAACAGTTAACAAAGACTACAAAATGTTTCCTTTCACATGTGTGAACATCTCGAAAGTCTTAAATCGTACCCAGGAAACGCCGAGTGGGCCTAATTCTTCAGAAAATTTAAGTGATTCCCCCACACGTTTCAGCTTCGTTGAAAGCTGAACGGCATCCTTAGATGTACAAACGCACTCCAACTCTGAAAGTAGCTCCAAGTGAAAGCGTGGATTCTCCGTCCTTATTATGGGAGTACTCTCCTACGGCCACTACCAGTTCTGCATTACGTATAGTTTATTCATCGGCTAACCGCATGTAGCAGCGGAAAATCTTCCAGGGAACCAGTCTGTCGAGCAACACCTTGTCGAATAATCTTATTACATGCTACGCAATGTAGGTGCTCATGACAGTGTGCAAGTGTGTTTCGGTAGACGAACTAATTATTTTTAGACTTCGCCTTGCTGAAGGCCGCTCTATTTTTTAAAAAAAAAAGTGGATATTTAGAGGAACACAATGCTCCTTCGAAAAATGAGCAGCTGGAACACAGATAATGCTCGAAGAACTTGTCGAAGCTTGAAAAGAAAGCGATAGTTGTAAACCAGTCGAAAAAACTCAATTCAAAGAGCATTAGGTTAAAATGTGAAGAGTGGATGAATACATAGATCGCCGATCATGGAGACCAGGAAACCACCTCGTAATGAGCATGTCCGTCCAACGTAGACAATAGCTTCGTAAAGAGCAGGAAAGAGTAAATAGAAAACAATAGACTTAAAAGCCTAGTTCTAATTTTATGACAATGGATCATTTCGAATGATGGAGTCACGTCCCACACTTCGTGTGCCTTATTTTCTCAAATTTTGTCTTATACGAACAAAGAGCATTCCAATGTTGTGAGCAAAATTGGCAAAATAGATGTAAAGCCTGACTCTACTGCTCACAAAAACGAAAAGTGCCCCTATGACTGACTCCTTTGCAAGTGTATCATAGACAAAATATCGATGAGTAATATTTTAGAAACTGAGTCTTCCTTAATCTTGTTTTTAAAATATTGTTGCGCTCTGTGCATGCTGATAATGATACTGACTGATGCAGGATTGATTTACCGGTGAAAAACAAGTTATTATCAACGGACAATCACTATAAACAACAACCGTCCTATTAAAAAAAGCACTGCTGAAGGAGGTTTTCTATTCAAGCTGTGCCCTACTAAAGAAGATCCGACTCGATACGACGATGCAGACACCACATTGGCAGGAGAAGGAACTGTGGCCAGTAGACTCGGATAAATTCCGGTTCTTATGAAAGCGAAGGCGCCGAAACATTACCCGAATAAGGTTTTCTACCAACCCCATGTTATCCTATCAATGAAAGAAGACATACCGATAAGTTTAATAGTGGGAAGAATAGATCGTTAGCGGATATCCGATTGGACTCCGGAGCAGTACAAAGATCTAACCGAAGACCACTTACGAGATGCCTCAGTATTTCGGTGACCGTGTCAATCATATGAAGCTTGCAGACTCTTTGTTATCTAATTCTAGTGGCTGCAGTCACATGCGAAGACTGCGGTGCTCATTGATGGTGGTCGGAAGAGAGCAAAATGGGTAACAGATGGATTTTGCCATTGAACCAGAAGTGAAAAAAAGTTTGAAGGAGCGTCAAAGAGAAAAACTGTTGTTTCTTTTTGTAATATTGCGCACCATATCTGAAAAGAAGGTCTTCATTAACGATGGTCACATCACCTCATATTTAAACATAAGAGTCTACACAGAGCGATGTAAAACAATGTTGTTAGAACAAAACAAGACAACAAATGCGCCCTCCTGATAAGAGAAGAGTCATAAACCTAATTGATCCGTGGCCAAAAGTTCTTGATATTCATTAGTTATTGCTACAGTGCAACGTGGCGACATACATTTGATCACTTATCACACCTCTACTTATTTACATGATCGTTTCCCAGGTATTCTGCAAACTGCAGTACTTCCATAATAAGGTCAATTGTCTTGGATTCATCATTATCATCTATAAAGATTTTCGGATATGCATATAGGTTCGCTTGCTGCTTAAGGATTTTGTCTTTTCACAAACACCGCTGAATGCAATTCGAGTTGATCTTCCATGAACTCTAGGGATAGTTCTGCGAAAGTGCTCCTAGCTCTTCACTTCAGCCAGTCAACGGCATTTATGGACAGGATTGAACTTTGCCCTGAAGCCTCATATCAGTTAGCCCACTCCACAGAAACTAGTGGCTAGGTTGGCCACGTGCAGCGTCGAACCTGTGGATATACTGCGTGTGTTAAGCAACATCACTAACCACTGCTCTACTTGCTTATCTATAAGTTCCTAATTGGCTGTGTAAAGATTACTCACTGAAATGAATGTTTTTCAATGATTCGGTTCAACTTCAACTTTTTCTTCTTACACACGGACGTGGACTCGAATCATCGACTCTAAGGAAAACGAAGACGGCCAAACATTTGCCAAACGAACTTTATTTATCAACGCAGTGTTAGCTTATCAATAAAAGAACACATGTTCATTAGTGACACCGAAGTTAAAGAAAACTCAATTTTCGAAATACTGCTACGTTATGTGCTTGCCGATAATGACACCGACTTCTGCAGCATGGATCCCCGGGAAAACAAGTTATTATCACCAGACAATCACTAGCAACAACTTTTTTGTATAAAAGAGCATCGCCAGGTGAAGCTGCCTCATTGGAGCACTGCTCCACTGGAGAAGGTTCGACTCGATTTTGGTTGTACGAAAAGCGGTGGGGTCTGGATGTGTCAGCCCAGTGTCATCATCGCTGTAGATAGCTCTGCTAGCAGTTTTTCGACTACGAATGCATGGAGAACTTGGTCAGTTTGGATCGTAGCACCGAACCAGTGGTCATGTGCATTGCGCATGGTACTTTCACCACGATGCAATGTGTTCATTAGAAACGAGTTTACCAAATTAAGAAGTGTGAACCGTAGAAGAACTTTTCATGCTAACCTTTCACGCTTTGAACCAGTTGTAAACTGGGTAAAATAACATGATTGGTTTTGAACTGCGAATGCTTGAAGAGATCACGCATAGATTCCGACACCATCTCCAATGCAGCGTGTACACTTACGCACATCGATTCTCCATCTGAATTTAATTAATGATAGGCAAAAGTCGACCAATTAGAAAGTCATGAAGTGCGTAGTTGAATGATTTTACTTCAGAGAACTTTTGTTGTCTACAATGTTAAAGACGATTTCACAGAAAAATCTGAAAACTTCATAAATGTTTTTACTAATTCCATAAACCTTGTAAAGCTCTGAACATTCACTAACATCACTTGGAAATGTGCCATGCATTCGACCACATTCAAAGCGTCACAGACGTCATCGAATATATATCTGGCTTATCAAATAGCTCATAGCAGCCTAACGATGCATCAATAAGTGGTTTTTCATGTTTGCAAGCAAGCCTGGTATCAACTTGCCGAACCCTGATGGTCGACGACCTTAGTTTGCCTTGGGTGTGAGGCGAATAAATGACCTTTCTACGTCATGTGAATACCTCTACACCATTTGCGCTCCAACTCATTTTAATCTAAAACCACAAAAGGGACTTCGTCATGACCCCTTCAAAATGGAAATTATTTCTGGTTATTTTTCATCTCTGCTTAATCAAGTTGTCTTCGTTTTTCGCAAATGTGGCACGCATTACACTCCATTCCTAACTACACGGATGTCATGGAATACATATCTGGCTTATCCAGTAGTAATTAATGGCTTACCGATGCATCGGCTTAGTCCCACGACCGAATTTCTATGGACCTATGTGTTGATTAAATAATTCTTTATATTCCTGTTGAGCAAATGCTAGGTGTTATTTTATTCTTTATCCATGAACAAGCTGACGTTTCGGCGGATTTCGCCTTCCTCAGAGCGGCATATAAAGCATCAGTTCAGTGGTTTTCATCTTTTCGAACAAGTCTGCTATCCATTTGCCCACGTCAGATGGATGACGATCTTAGTTTGCCTCGGGAGTGGCCTGAACCAATGACTTCTGCATATCGTGGGTCACTTATAATCACTGCACAATAGGCGCTCCAGTTATTTCATTTTAACTTGACACCACAGAGGTGAATGCGAATTGTTCACAACTTCTTCAAAGTGGGAATTTTCCTTCGTCGTTTTTTCATGACTTTTTAATCAAATCGTTTTCGTTTTTCGCCTATCACTAAAAGTTGATCGCCAAAGCGGCGCCAAACAAGCCATAACGGCAAACCGGTAGCAATTATGGTCTTTACAGAGGTAGCACGTGGAATTTTACAAGAGTTGTATGAGTAGATATGTATATATAACGTATATAACGTATACATGACATATATATGTGTATACATAAATATATATACGTTTGCATATGCATATATGTATGCATAAATGCATCGTATGTAGAAAAAAATCCTCTGAAGCACATTAAGACGTAGAAGAGTTGAAAAAAGTATAAAAAACTGGAATGAAAGACCAATGAGCAAAATTTGAGAAAAAGAATATATAGAACAACATGGTTCACCAACAGATGACAGCAGTTCAGATAATTTTCAAACTCTGGCAAAAATTTTGGCCCTCAAAAGTGCTAAAAACCCCAAAAATTCGTGTAAAGCATTCTCTTCATTCTTTTAAGGTAAAATCGAGCTGATACAATTATAATGAATAAAACTTTTTAAAAAATCTCTATCTGACGTCTTTTTCCTAATGGTTACCTTAGAAGTTCGAAAAAAAACTTGAAAATAAAAAAAACTTATAGAACAACGAGTTTGAAGCCGTTTTTCATTACATATATGTTTCATAGGTACTTTATTTTGTTGAAAAAAACTAGAAATATTGCATTTGTTAAAGAGAGCTCATTTTTTTCACTAATATCTACTGCTAGCGTTCATGGATATCCCAGTCTGGAATAACGATTCAGTAAAGCACCCGTTTTAAAATATTTCTCAATCTGTCTTTAATTCTAGTGACCGGAGGTGATCAAATCCCAAAGAAACTTGACAAACAATAGTAAACTTGAAAAGGAACGACGATTGTTGTTTAGCGCAACTTTTGTACTCTTATACCAATTGAGTAAATATGAATATGAATAATATCGATTTTTTCCGTTGAAAGCCATTTTTATAAGAGCTCCTAAAAAAAGAGGGGACAAAGACCAAAACGGAAAAGTTACGACACTTAAGAATGTTAGAATAAAGAAAAGATAATTGCTTCGGTCGGTATTTATGCCTAGGCTTCTAATCACTTGAAAAAACTGTTCGTAGCATATCAAAGTCTTGATCTAAGTCGTAAAACAACATTTTCAAAACACCTTTTGCACTTTTCAAGACAAAACCAATAAGGAATGGAGAAAGAGTACCAGGAAATAAAATCATAAAAAATAAAAATCCACAAAAAGAAGAACAAAATAGAGAAGAGTACGATTGATAAAGATTCAAAACAAAGAGGAGAAGCACCAAAAAAAAACCAAGAAGGTTGGCCGAGGAATGGATAGAAAAGAGCGGTAAGGGAAGAAAACACCTGCCGAACCTGGCACATTTGTATTTACGTCTAATGCGGCTCGTAACCTAGAGATGAACATCGAAAATCGCTCTACATCCCGTCTTATGGCCGTTGGAATCTGGAATATCAAAGATAGACAAGCGTTAAAACTGATAAGTTTGTAAGGAGCAAGGAGAAAAAGAAAAAGCGAACAGAACAGAAAAGCTTTTTAACACAACCCGACATCACATATTTAATGGATCCCAGTACTTTCATCCCTTCGTTTAGTTCTTTAATCGGATCGCTTTCTCGACTCCATAGCCAACAACGATCATCAGAATTATGTGTGGGTTCGAGTGCCATTTGAGGATATTTGGCCTAGTTCATAAGGGATATAGGACAATGCTCTCGGCGTTGGTCAATTCCTGAGGAATGTACCATGCCTTCGACTTCAGCTATCATCCTTAGAGATATTTGCAAAACTCTGGACCGCAGGTGCCTATGGTGGGAACGAACGCGCTACTGTCCTTTCCGGGGAGTAACGCGTTCACCACCACACCATGCGGGTCCTTTGTTTCGCACGTCTCTCAGCTATTTCTATCGATCTTTTGCCCGGGGAGTAACGCGTTCACCACCACACCATGCGGGTCCTTTGTTTCACACGTCTCTCAGCTATTTCTATCGATCTTTTTGCCACAGCAATCACCCGTCAGCGGGGTTGATCTGGGGAGCGCAAATCGGCATAGAACCCAGTTAAGCTGCGGCTGTAGTTGAAATCACAATGTTATACTTTTTTTTTATTTTCTGCCTACTAATTTCGCGGCAGTGTACTAAGCGAAATACAACCACCACGTTGCTGAGTTGGAATTTAGTTGGAATTCGTATGACTCCTTATGATGATGTGATTTTTATGTGTTTAAGTAGAAATTTCACTATTATTTATTATTATTTCTCATTTTTTTCACCAAACCATAAGGAACGTACTATTCAAACTGTACTGTTATACAAATTGCAAAGCTCAATTCTTGCACTTTGGCTCCGTGACACTGGATGACAATATAATTTGTGTTTTTAACAAACTCTGAAAAATAGAATTCTACATGAGAACAGAGAAATTTCGATAAATCTATTTCAGCGAGTCCAGAGTCGGTCTAACTACAGCGGAATCGGTTCGAAACATTAGTGAGGTGTGTGAGGCCAAAGAGGTCTTATCGAGTGCACGGCGCAGTGTTCGTTTGGAAAATTTCATCATAGCGTATCCACCTTCAAGGAAAGAGGTCGCGACGTCCTTCCAAATTACGACATTAAATTAAAGGATTTTCTGTAAGAAAATACACGAGCAACTGTCAGAGAACATGCAGATAAACTAGGCAGAAAGGTTTAAGTAAGATGAAGCTCTCGTAATTGATCAATCCCCGAGCGACCTCGGAGGGACGGAAGACTTGGTGAGTCTGAGGTGTGGGATGGAACTCATGTGTATTACAGGGCGGCTCTAACCGCTGAGGTACACGGCCTAAACTTGTCATAAGGATCTCAAATCTAAATAACTCGGAAAATCGAAACAATCCGACAAGTGGATGCTGCATGAATTGATTAGCAATCAAAGAAATCGTTGTTTTCAGCTATTGTCGACATTTTGCGCAATCAGAACGACTCGTTTCTTGAACGTAGTGTGCCGCGTAAGACAACTGGATCCTCTGCGTTAAACGGAGACCATCAGCTCAATGGCTGTACTGTATGAAGTCTCGTAGCAGTTTCCAAAGCCGAAACTTCGCTAAAAGAAGGTCACGCTGAACGTTTGGTGATCTACAGCCGGTTGGTCCATCCTATCGTACTGAATCCGATTGGAACAGTTACGGAAAAGAAATATGCCCAGCAAGTTAGCGGTTTGCACTAGAAACTTCGACGGCTACGCTCCTTTGCTCAATGGAAAGACTGCCAACGCTTCGAAGTTGAATGAGCAATGCTACAAAACTCTGCTTCATCCATCATAATTGCTTGGCATGTTGTCTAACAGTGACTATTTCTTTAAGCTTCTCAGCAACTTCCTGTGAGAGAAATCCTCCAAAAACCAAAACGAGGCTGAAGTTTCTTTTAACAACATAATTGCCTCCAGAACTCAAGCGTTTTAAGCAAACGGGTTATACAAATTCGTGCACAGAATAACCTGTAGATTGTAATTCTTATTTCTATCAAAAAATTCATTTTTATGTGCCACATTGAAAACATAGGTTAAAATGGCACATTAGTTTATGGACACCTAATAATTTCCCTATGTAGAGCAGGAAATCTGTTCACAAATCTCTATCATAAAGAATGTTGTGCTTTTAGGTTTCAAAAACGCAACCAATCAACTTTGAACTGCCGAAAAGACGATCAGAAAACTTCCAAGCAGTCATATTCAACAATGATGATTCTCCATCCTCTATCCAATAATGTAGGGAGTGGACAGCACAATGGTAGTGATGCCGGTCATCACGACCACGGTGCTGCTCCGATCTCGCTCCGGGATCCCCAAGTATCCCGTCCCTCCAAGGTCGGAAAGCTAGTATTGGACTTCTCCTGGAAAAATCACTTTCCGGAATATAACTGAGAATGCTGTAGGACGGCTACCTCAGGACTCCAGGAAGAATCGACTCGACCAGTATTCAACGACAATGAAGATGAAAGAGAAATCCTCTCGCAGCACTCGAAGCCACACGCAAAGTTTGGAAGACCTTCGTGGATGATGGATGCGGGAAAACGTATCGAACGTGAGAAGCGCTGGGTTTCACGCACTAGATTTGAAAGACGGGTCGTATGAGAACTAAAAAAAACCAGTGATGTATTATTTGCTGACTGCGGATGACATGAAATTTTTGATACGCGCCTCAAAGAAGAAGAGGAACCATTTGAAAAGTAAGAATTTCTTATTTAACAGAAGCTTCAATGTATCATTACATGCGCATCCCACTAATGAAAATTGGAATAGAAATAACTAACCCTTCTTTCCGCACAGTCGATGTCGTTCGAGGAGCAGACGCTACTCGTCGACGACATTGCTGTCAACCAACCAATACTAAAACTATTTCGTAAAATTCGAAGAGCGACCAAGCAATAATCTAAGTTTATGAAAACTGATAGCCATCAAAGCCTATGAGACAAAGAGAAAAAGACAGGACGGAAACGAGAAAAAAATTCTATAACCATTTGCAATAGATGTTTTGGTTGCTCTGTTCGTAATGAAATCAAATCTTACGATGAAGTGATAGATGGGGTAACAGACCACAGAAGATGGCTATGGTGGTGAGTAATGATTCATCCAGGAAAAGAAATATAAGAAGAAAAGAAGGCAAGAAGGAAATGAAAAAGAAATCGATGATGGAGTAGGAAAGCCAATTAATGCGCAAAAAATAACATCGATAACAAAGAACCCTAAATAACCAGTAGATATCCGTGGATGGAAATTTTTGACCATTCGGCTTATTCGCATTCAAATTGAAAAACTTTCGAATGTTGGAATTATTGACTCCTATGACAATGATTTCACATAGAAGAGGGCAGCACCAACATTTTGAACCAACTCCATCATAGTAAATTCCACATCATTGCTGTTAACGTGACGCAACAAAATCTTCCACCAGGTCTCCAAGAAATTGTTGTCGGATTTATAGCTTAGTTTTCTTGTATATATTTTAACAATAAGTTCCTTTTCGAATTCTGCTTAAGTACAGACCCTTGAAAGCTCACTTTATGCACTTCCGCTCTGTCTAAGTGGACTGTAATACAAATTGCGCCTTTGACAAATTTTAAAGGTTAGAATTTCAAATGCCAAAACAGAAACGTCGACAAGTCTGCTTCTACCATGAAACCTTAGCACGGTTCTGGTGCCACGCAAGCGCTGTCGAAGGCTTAGTATAACTCCGATCTGGCACATTTCGCCCCTGACAAATACGATCTTCAAGATGAGGGAGGTCTCGGATGTCTCTCTGCTGGTGACAAATTGGAGGTTTCTGTGCAAGTGAATAGACATGGAAATGATCGAGAGAGTGCGGAAGAAATAGCTGTGCGCATCTTAGTTGTCTTGGAACATTTCAACAAGTTGGAAAATCGAACAGAGTCGACAAATAAATGTCCCATGAATTTGGATGACAATTAAAGAGATGGTCGTTTTGAGCTTTTATCGGCGTTTCTTCAATGCAGCTAGAACGATTCGTTTCTCGAACGTGACATGTCGCCAGATGCTATAAAAGTGACACGAGGTCGGAACAAAGCACCATACTCGCTAGACTCCTCTCCTACCGATTATCACTTCTTCAAATATCTCGACAAACTTTTATGCGAAAAATGCTTCAGAGACCAAGCGGAAGTCGAAACTGCCCACAACGACTTTATCGCCTCCATAAGACCAGCTGTTTAAGCAACCGGCATAATCGAACTTGTTTCTCATTGAGAAAAAGCCGTCGATTCCAATAGATTTTACCCTCATCAATAAAGTAGAGAGGTGCCACTTTAGAAATATAGGTTGAAATCCGACATTTCCTGAAGACCTTTTAGCATTTTCAGCTCTATCTTCAATAAATATTTTTCCTCTCTATCGAGCAAATACGGATTTTCTTCCGAAATCTACCTACATTCATAGCTGAACTTATATTGTTTGTTTGTTTTAAAGTACTACAAATAGATATATCTTTCGTTTAGAAGCAGTTGTCAATCATTGTTTATGTTGTTTATGACCCTTGACCTTTTGTCTCGTCAAAAAATGGAGAAACGGGGTTTCTAAAACCTCCTACCTATTTGGATTTAATCGAATGTCCTATTCAGCACATTCACCAATAATCACAGGCGTATTTCACACAGCTACTGACATCTATGGTATTTTAACCAGGTTTGTCACCTTTCCCAGTGATTATGGCAACATGACACGATTGCTATGAGGACGGCCTTTCTAGATATTTCGATTCTTGTAATTCTGAAACAAACGACCAGATCGAAAATTGACTGCAATATAGAAGATATTTGAAAAAGCGTGTTTTATCTTGTCACTCCAAAAAACCTTCGCTTAACTTTAAGGAATTCTACCTTTCTGAGGTTATAGGTTCCTCTGCTCATTTGGACACTGAAGGCAATGTTGTTTTAGTGTTAGATTAAGCTATGAAAGACAACCATGTGGCAAAAATGAACGAAGGAATCATTGGACAATTTTTTCCAAACAGCTAATGTATTACCGTTTTTCAAAGCTAGACGAACACGTATAAGACGTTTATGAATGGTTATGATTATTTTGGCCGAAATACCGAAACCAACAGATGGCAAGTTCTCGAAGGCGCCGATTGTAGGACGAGCGTTTCTTTCGAAGTCAGAACGTTAGAATATCAGACCAATGTGTAACAAAAGCACGAAACTTGAAGACTCGACATCACACTACCGATTTGACTAGCACTTTTTAAGCACGCAAAAAATGGATCACATGGTGTTATAGCTACCAATAAGTATTTGCTTACTCACTTGGATACTTGGACGGTCCGTCTTCACGAGCTGTGCGGACCCCAGCACATATGCCATTCGCTCCTCTCTTTCGCAATCGTAGTCCATGNTTGGACGGTCCGTCTTCACGAGCTGTGCGGACCCCAGCACATATGCCATTCGCTCCTCTCTTTCGCAATCGTAGTCCATGGTGGTGGTCTTACTCGAGCATGGTAGCGTTTGTGAGTCTCATACCATGTTCTGTAAAACAACTGCAGCTGCAAGTACAGCTGATTAACTATGTTTACGAACACGTCCGCCCAACGTGTAGGTGGTCGTCCAAAGGGACGTTTCCATTCTTTTGGAGTCCACTCTAATGTTCTTTTCGTCTATCCGTCGTCTATTCTTCTCACTATGTGACCGGGCCATCTATGTTTCGCTATCGATGTATATTCTCTTGGATCTCGAAGACGTGACAGATTTTGAAGGCCAGAGCTTCGCATTCCGGCTACATATTGAGAGTGCCGATTATATTTCAGAAGACATCACTAAAGCGCTCTGTGAGTTGTTCGAAGCATTCTTGACGTGGTTAAAGTATCAATTCACGTCTCTGCAGCATAACAGAGCGTTGGCAGGACCGTGGAATCAAAGAGATGAGCGCACATTTTCGGGTCCTTCAGTTGGTCGGTGGCTTCTTTGAGAGGCCCGAATGCGGCCCAAACTGCTCTCCTTCTTTTATCTAGTTCCTCGTTCATGTCGTTTTCCATGTTCATTGATCGCCCAAGGTAAACGTACGACGTGGTCTCTGCAACGAGAGAGCCATCCAATTCAATTTTTCGCCTTCGCACCATGGGCTTTTCATGAACTGGGTCTTCTTTCGATTTATGCGAAGTCCGATCTTTCCTCCGTCTCGTTGAGCTCGTTGATCACCTCTGCTCCGCTAGTACTTCCTGGAAAGTTGACAATGTCGTCGGCAAAATGAAGGCTTAATAGGAATTTTGCACCAATACGCATGCCTTTCTCATCCCAATCGAGTGACTTCATTATCCACTGCAGTGGGGCACTGAACAGCTTTGGCGATATTGTGTCGCCTTGTCGAACCCCCTTTCCTATGGGTATTGTGAGAGGTCGATAGAAAAGTTGTATTTTCGTAGTCCAGTTCCGATAACAGTCGGACAGAGTCATTACGTAGGACGGGTCCACTCCTTGTTCGACAAGCGCTGATAGGATTGCATTCGTTTCGACACTGTCAAACGCCTTCTCATAGTCGACAAAGGTTAGGACAAGAGGCAAGTGATATTGCCGACAAACTTCGATGACCTTGGACACGGTTTGGATGTGTTTCATGCAGCAGAATCCTTTTCGAAATCCTGCTTGCTCGACTGGTTGCGCCTCATCCGATGTCCTTGATATGCGCGAGCGGGTAATCTTCGTAAAGAGCTTGTAGAGTACACTTAACAAGCATATGGAACGATAGTTACGAAGATTCCTTCGGTCTCCTTTTTTGGGTAGGTTAACCGTGCGCGACGTCTTCCACTGGTCTGGGATTTTCTCCTTTTGAAGGTAGCGTGTCATATGATTTGCGAGAAGTACATGTAAATTGTGGCCTCCAGCTCTAAGAAAATCGGCACTGATATTATCGGGTTCTGGAGCTGGGCTTCTTTTCATGCTTTCTATCGCAACTCGAACCTCCGACGGAAGAATTCCAGGTGGTTTTTTTCCGGCGGGGATATTAGGGTCCGGGACGGAGATTGTGGAACGGAGAAGGTTGGTGTAGAACGTTTGCGCTATTAATTCCATATCATGGCAAGAAATTTTGACGATCCCATCTTCGTTCATCAGGGCCGACAGCGGAACATTGTAATCACACAAGTCCCGGCGGCATTTTTTCAGACTGCTTTTTTTCTCTGCTGCTTCCAGTATTTTTTTTGCTTGTACCGTTGTAGATCTTCCTGCAAAGCTCTTCGTCAGCTGGCATTTATTTTATTACTAGCCATGTTAAACGTGTTGCTGTAGGATCAAGCTTCAGTTTCCTACTCTTTTCGAGCAACTCCTTAGTAGTGATAGAGATGTGATCCGATCTTCTTGCTTGAGGATCTGAGGCGAATTCGGCACAGCTTTTCAGTCTTTCGACAAGCACTCGTAGCCTTCGGTTGGGTCTTCTTTAACCTGGCGGTCACATTTGTACAGGACTCCGTTTGGAATGTTCTCGTCGTATACAGCTAGACTTCTTTCTCATGGTCGATGAAGAGAGTTCTTTTCCAGCTTGCGGCTGAATCGAATCTTCGCGCGAAGAAGGCGGTGATCGGAACCAGTACAGAATGACGGGACTACCGATGTGTCAAGTAGGCACCATCTTCTATTTGTCAAAATTTGGTCGATCTCCGCATGAGTCATGCCGTTGGGAGACTCCCATGTCCAGCGGCGGCTTTCTTTCTTCTGGAAGAACGAGTTCCTATGAGAGAGACGTGCCGCTGACAAGAGTACTGCGAGACGGTTCCCATTCTCATTCTTTTCTCCTCCGATTCTCCAAAATTTCCGATCCTGTATTCATTTTCGTTGGCCTTTCCTATTCTGGCATTGAAGTCTCTAACAACAAATTTATGATATGCT